TCTGGGTAACAATGCATGATGGGATACACTAGAAGAATTTCTCTCACCTTCTGCTCCAATAAAGCCCTTCGAAGAGAAACTTTTTCTTGTAATTCTCGCTTCTCCTTTTCGTGCTGACACTCAATTTGTATTTTTGTTTTGACTTGGTATGCGTTCAACTGTTCCATTTCAATTTCCAGTTGTTGTTTCAATTTCTCAACGTCAGTTTCCTGTGATTCATCAAGTTTTAACTAGGAACCAACAAAAAAAAAAAAAATATCTCAAACAAAGGCATCTGTGGTCTGCCAGAACATGAATGAATGGAGTGAAATTTCCTCAACAACTACTACCATAAAATCTGTATTAGAAGCAGCATCTCTAATAGAAGACGCACACACTTTTTTTGAATAATTGAGAACCAAAAATTTTTCATTTCTCATATGTGTAGATGCTCTAATAGAAGCCGCATCCCTCTGTTGCATTTTACCATTTTAATAGAAGTCGCAGCTTTTAATACAGATTTCACAGTAAATGTTGACACCAGACATGAAAGGTTTTTGATATATTTACACATGTGTTAGTGTAGAATACAAATGTTTCTATGGTCGAAAATAAGTAATATTTGAACGAATAAGTAGAAACCAAATTCAATTTTTTTGTTTATATGCTTTTCTATAGGAGATACACTTATAATAGAGCAAGTACAAGAGTTATTTTGCAAGTATATACTCCAGATAAGATGAAACCGTATCTATTTGAATACGATCAAGGTCATGAATGAATTTTTTTAACCTTGCATTTGACTCACCGATTGCGACTGTAACATTTCAGATATAGTTTGGTTATACTGCTCTCCGAGCTGAGATAATTTTCTTCTCTTGTCTTCTTTGAGGTTGTGTTTTACTATTTTCTGTTGTTCTCTAGGAGTTCTCCTCAGTTCCTGCTCTATCAATGCTTGGTACTGCTTTGACTGCGTTTTACACGCATCATGAAACTGCTTCCTGATTAGTGCCTCTTTTTGCTGCAGGGACAAAGAAATAAGGCTTAAATTTACAAAATATACTTGGCATACCAAGACAGTCAATGTAGATCTCCAATACATACATGTGTGAGACACACAAAACTCTGTCCAGATTTTATTTTAATTAATTTAGTCATTCTACTATGAAGACTTGCATTTTCCATACATCTGTTTCAGTTTCAGGTGATCTCCATTAAATTAAATTAAAAAAAACAATGTCATAAGTACAGTTATAATTACTTTTTGTATCACTGAAAAATATAAACGAAGATCAAGATTGCAAAATAAATGCTTTTACAGTATTATTTCAACTGTGTGCTTGACTCGGCTGAAGTTAACGATAAGTCAATGTAATGGTGTCAGTTTGGTGTCTATCCAAAAAAAATAAATAAAAAATCAAAACATTGTCATGAAAATTAATTTGCATGCCATCCCTGGACGCTTTAGTAAGACGATAGCATGGTTATCATAGAAAATAAACCAGATAATATCGGGTTTTCAATAGACCACCAGAGCCACAAGCCCAACAGCGCCCTCTCCACTGAGCAAACAAAATGCCAAAAATATCAATCACTTAATCATGATAACTTTGCAGAACTTATAATAAGCGTACTCACTCGTAGGTTTTTCGGATGCTGTTTGGTTTCTAGGGCATGTTTCTTCGATAGTTCTCTCTCAACACGTTTCGTGTACTCCTTCTGATTCATGAGTTCCGTCATGTGTTGTTTCTTCATCTGTTCTATCCTCATGTCCTGTATCTGACGCATATGTTTGTATTCAAGATTCTGCGTACAGTCATGGTGTGACAACAACATGGAGTGGTCGTAGCTAGTAATCGCTTGTTTCTTCATAAGCTCCTGTGTGAGATAATATACAAATTCAAGTGACAATCACATGAGATGTTATATTTGCCAATATCAGTAGATCCTAATTATACTAATTTTAGAATTACCAATAAACAAAGAAGGTCTGGACTACAACATTATTGTTAGTGTACACAGTCACAATGTCAGGTTTGCATTTTCTATGGTAGTAATTATTTTATGGATTATGTTTCCTATACAAATGACCGTTAGTGTTCAAAGATTGACAGCCACACCACAGTATTCATGTATTCGGACATCCATGTATTTTCACCGCCTGGCAACCATCACGATAAAGACAAAGACCGAAAACTCTCAAGAAAATGTACTTTGGACTAGTTGTTGAGATTCTCCTGAACAGTGTAACAAGATTACCCTACATGTGCAACATATATAAATTTAATTGCTCAAGATTACTTCAAAGTTGAGTTTGTGTTGTTTTCATGACTTTCGCTGTTTTCACCGGCTCTTTGACCGACGTTCCACAACAGCTCGCGCAGAGCCCATAGAAATAAATGGTCGAGTGGGGTGCGTCTTAGCAACATAGAACGTTCTGTGACGTACATGTAGCTCCGCCCTTAAGAGTTGACCTGGTTTATAGATCATGAGATGGGATTAACAATTTAGAATTGCTTTTAATTTCATCTTTCATGAATGTTTTAAAAGTATTATAACTGAATTTCAGAAAAAAACACAGTCTTGTATATTACTGTACTTCACTAACTTAGTTCCCATAGTGCTTAGCTTCGAAAATCACATTTTTAATTTGGACATGACCCAAAAAGTTGAAATCCCCAAAGAGTGAGGAGGGTGCATAGAGTATGAGTAATAAGCTGAGAAAGTATGATACAATGTTCAGGCAGGCCATTATGTTATAAATTCGTGATTATACAAATAAATGCAAATTTACTCATTAACATAGTACCTGTTGTCATGGTGACACTACCTACCTCTCTCAATTGATCTTGTTCTAGTGAGTGTCTTGCCAGCAACTGACACCTTTTGAATTTTCTGATTTCCAAATCAATGTGACCTTTGTGGCTTTTCAACAGGCTATTCTCTGCTTCTTGCTGCTTTTGCTGTAAAGTTTCCTTGTGTTCTCGCAATTTCAAATCCTGGTCCCTTTTTGGTATACTTTCCAGTTCCTGTTAAGGTAGAAAATATGGTAAAATTTTTGGTTGAAAAAAGTTCAAAAAATTATTTCAGTAATATTTTACAGCTCCTTTGTGCTGTTTTCTATGAATTTGTTGCCGAAAAATTACTGTAATAATTTTATAGCAGTTAATATTTTATTTGGGAACTTTTTAAAGATGCCTAGACATTATCAAATCATTGGTTCTGTCTTATTCTTGTCAATATAACTGCACAGCATACATAATGAATACTGTAAAATAAGTCTTTAGCTAGTGTGTTATTTTACCAGATTTAGCTAAGCTGTAATTTTGCTATTATTGTAAAATACTTTATTTTTGCTTGGAATTAATTTTCGCTATTTTTGCTGAAGGAATGATTCAGTGAAAATAACATCCAGTGAATATATCTTTTTTTTTCTATATTTTACATTCAACTCGTCAAAAATCAATGAAAATCAATTCCATACAAAAAATTCAAAAAGTCTTTCCAGCGAAAATTAATTCCCACTAAAATAAACTATTTGACAGTAAATTATATTTCTGTTAATTTGTGCATTGTCAAATATGCTTAAATGGCATGCAGATATTTCAAAGTCCTTGACAGCAATAACTCACTTTTTTTATTTGTTCTTTATTTTGTTTATATTCCTTTTTCTGAAGAGCTTGAAAGTTTCTTAGTTCCACATCCTGTAACTGTAATATTCCCTTGTACATTTTTTTCTCCTCTGTGGTGATCGCCTTGTTCTGCGGAAAAAATGTTATATTTGACATTGTCAGGGATATCAACAAGGTTACTGAAAATAAATCATGAGTGAATACCTCCCTCTAGGGTCAAAAATTGTACATTATTGTATTGACCATTTAATGGCCAGTACAGCTCAAGGTACTGTATATTCACCAAACTAGAAGCATATTTTACGAAAGATATGTGGTTGCAGACATTTCTACCCATCCCGAACAAGAGAAACTCACCAATGTCAAATATTATTTAAAATAAATAGTATCAGAGGTACATTACTTGGGGTTTGCAACTATGGTGACATGATACCAAAATCCCATTTCAATCTCGCTCTGCATAAGCGTTTCAACTCAGAAAAATGCAAATGTGCATGCCCGAGGTAACTAGGATACTGGGATGTCCAGGTGGATCAAAATAGCTGCTCACGATATGACAGATTACGATAACTATATTTTCTGTACATTTTCGATGTATTACATTTTTTCATTATGAATGTGGTAATACATGTTTTATTGATTATTACAAATTGCCTATTTCATGTCAGAAGGTCGTAGCATCAGTCTCGCTATCTACGCGATGAGACTTGAATGGGATCTTGACATGATGTCACCATACAGTACTTTGCGCGTCGCAAACCCCAAGTAATGTACCTCTGATAGTATACAGTAAATAGAAATTTTAAATAAATTTTCTTTCATAGTTTTAACATGCTAAACCATGAATAATCTTTTTTGTGCCCATTAACAAGTTTATGGGAACTGATATCTGTGAAATGATTTACAACAACCCCTAGCAGAGAATCATTATCTATGTAAATATATGCAAATGTTTACCTTTCTGTCCAGCTCTAATTGGTGCCTCTGTAACAACTTCTCTAATTCCTTTCCGCTGGTGTGCGTCCCTTGTTCAAATTCTTTATCAAGCTTTTGCTTGTGTTCCTCCATTTCGGCAGCAACCTTATTTTCTAGCTGCTGTAATTGTTTCTGATGCTGTCGCCTCATTCGTTTGTAGCCAGTCATCTGCTCTCTCAGTTCGTTCTCATCCTTGTGTGCGTGCGCCTGGGCACTGACTATCGTCGTCGTACGTATTGTGGCAAAATTGTTGGCATGTATGGGGCTATGGTTGGGGGCACTGATTTCTGTTGGCTCTGTGTCGCTAGTCATGCTATTGGTGGAATTCTGAAAAATAAGCAGGATATTTATATTAGTCATCTTGTCAAATTAAAATGGTTGCTATGATACCATACTAATGTTATCTGAATCGCTCTCTGTCGGTTTTCCCCCAGTAATTCAAACCACTATGGCGATAACAATTTGCATACTAATTTGAATAGTCATTCCAAACGTAAATTGTAATGAGTAACGTACTTATTAAAACATGCACACAATAAACAGAAATAAATCACTATGGTGGTCAGGATAGTGACTGTGACGATGTCAAAACAGTGTTGTGGTAAAACCCCTGGTGGTACAGTCACAGTATCCTGGGGAGAACACTGGAATCCTCATCCCTTTTAATAACAAAAACAAATTCTAAACAGAACAATTTCATTACGATCAAAAGAATATCCACCGGAAATACAGCCATGGACAGAACAAAAAATAGACAAATATTATAGTAGGTTTTGTGCAGAAAAGAAATTCTGAAATAAAAATATTCGTAGTATCATATTTCCCAATATCTCAATTTCAATTTATCATACATAGTATTATAAGAGGCTGTTCCCTCAGAACAGTTTATATCTCCCTATCAGTTTCCGTGGCTACTTTATACTGTAATATTATTAAATGTGAACACTATATATCCATGCCCATATCACTGCATTATGACTGAAGGGTTTGAATACGTCAGAAATAATGTCTACAACAATATGTTTAAATTAACAATGTTATCGTACAATGAATAGTGAACTAAAATTAATATCTCTAACTGTGTCCTCTAAGAATTGGTATGACACGTCACTGACACGCGACCGCTATCGTTAATTAACAGACAACGAATTTGGAGTCATAGGTAATTTTTCGTGGACTGAGTGTTTTCACAGCGTATATGTGTTACACAATCCTTTTGCGTGTATCATAGCAAACTAAGTGTTGCATTGCATCACAAATCACCTTCTTATTTCATTTAGTAGAGTGACCCTGCATCCACAGCTCGTCAATCTGGAAATCATTGGGTTCGAATCCAGGTTTGTGCTGCTTAAAAAAATTGCATCATTTTTAAATAATGAAGTTGTACTCGCCACTTGAAACATGTGACACCAAACTGAACATTAGTTTGCTTACCAGGAAATGCAAAAATAATAAAGAAGCCGGCTTTTTCCTAGTAAACAGGCGTTATTTAGAACAGCATTATTAAATGTGAACTGTGTAGAACAAGGACTAAGTAATTTTCGAGTGAACGCTGA